AGATCCAAGTAATACTTTAGGATACATTATGGTGTCACCCAGTTCATACTTTAGTATTGTGGCACAAAATCAGGCCTGTAGGCATTTCAAGTTTAGACTTTTAGAAGTATACTAGGTTCAGTCACAGAATAATGTATGCCTTAATATTTACTTTGTCAGTTTAAGTAATAGCAAAAAACTACATAATTCATCATATGGTGACTATTTATTTGACCAAGTTTTCTTTTCCTCTTCACATTTTTAGTGACTGCCTCCCACTGTTGTCATCAACCAGGTCACTCGGGTGAGATAAATGCTGTAAAGCCTTTTGAAGAGACTTAGTAATAGGAATTATATTTTCCTTCAACTGTAATTTAGAGAAATCATCTTCTAAAACTTGCTTAATCTCTTCTTTTGTTTCTGTAGTTTTATTATGATTAAAACTTTCTTGTACTGCTTGAAGGTTAAATGACGTTTGTTTCAAGGCTTCCACAAGACCATGGTGTTTGCCTCCAGATAGGATAGAGCTCTGATTATCATTATTTTAAAAATCTTCAAGAACCTCTTTTATGCACATTTCCCTTGAACTTGGTTGAGGATTATCATCAGCATTAACAGGGACAGGAGATTTGAAAGTAACAGGAACATTTTCCCATGAAATTTATGCTTTGACTTTATCTAGTGAGCAAAGGCTATCATCCTTAGTCATAGGCTTTGGTAAGTCTTCAGTACACTGCTTGAGATTTTTTTTCTTGGCCTTCAGGATAAGTAACTCAATTTTGTCACCACTAAATGGCTTTTGAGATTGTCCTGGGAGAAGTGGATTCTCATATTGACATTGAGTATGCTTAGAATCATATTTATATTCATTAACTAATTCTTTATCCTCTCTGAAGGAATCTGTAAAATTTGAAGGTTCCAAAGAACATTCAAAACAATCTACTTCATTTGTAAGCTGAGAAGTTCTTTGTGTCTGGTGACTAAGCATAGGGAATCTTCATCTTTAAATAATTTATAAGCCCTTTGATTATCTGCATCAGGAATCAAGTCTTTATTATGGAGCCAAAGTGGATATTTAAAATCAGGTATACTAGTTTCCCCTAAAACATTAAGATTAGATTCTGGCTAGTGAGTTATATTAATCACTTTTCTGTTGCTGTGATAGAAACACTGACCCAAGCAATTTATAGAATGAAAAGTTTATCTGAGCTTACGGTTCCAGGGGAATTACAGTTCATAATGGCAGGGAGGCATGGCAGCAGAGGTGGCTGGAGGAAGAGTGGAAGCTAATCTCTATATCTTCCAGCAGGCACAGGAAATAAAAGAGCAACTGGAGATCCAGCAAGGCTTAAGAATTCTTCAAGCCCACCCCCAGTGATGTGCTTCCTCTAGGATAGCCACACCTTCTAAGACCTCTCAAAACAGCACCATCACCTGGGGACAAAATATCCAAATACTTGGAGCCTATGGGGACATTTTCATTCAAACCACCACATGAGCCATCTTGAATAATTTTTTTCAGCACTGTGTTCTGAACTGTCCTTGAAAGATGATTCCTTGAGAAATGATAAAGATGATTGCAAAATACATTTATTATTTCTATTCATAAGCTTTGGAGTCCTGGGCCAACTACATTTCTTTCCATTTACATGTACATATACATCACAAGTGACTAAATTATCTTTGCTCATGGGAGTAGAGGATACATGAAAATTTGGATTCTTTTTAATGTCCAATGAATCCAATCTTTTGTTGTGCCCAGTTTGTGAGACCCCAAAGACCATCAAGGAGCCAACCAATGCAAATATACAAGGGTTTGTTTTTATTGTTACAAGCTTAAGCTTGGGCCCACTCTGTCACCGACTCAGCAGATCTCAGATGTGAGACCCCTTGCTTTGGGAGACAGAGGTTTTTATGGGTTTATTTCAGCAAGGTCAGCAAGTAGGGGAGTAGGGGGTCTCCAGCCTGGCAAGCATCTGATTGGTTGCAGCTGAGTGCCAAACCATAAACTGCTGCCTTCAGGAAATCTGAAAAAAACATCTGGACTTTTAGTACTTTTATATATTTGATTAATTGACCATTGGTGGGGGAGTTGTTCTCTATCCGTTCCAAGTATTGTGGTTCTTCTTGGAACAGGGCCCAGGGCCAGGTTGGTCCTATGGAGGTTTTATCCAAGATGGAGTCACTCAGGTCTCTCATTCCGCCCTCTGACTAGTACCTTGGGGGCCCAATCGTGGGCGCTCCCTCATTTTATGTTTTTTATTACCCAGACTCTGGAGGGACTGATAGTGGGTTCGCATTACCATTAGCTGTATAGTTCTCAGCCATTCTTTTTATAAAAGTTATTAATTTATTTAAAATGTAAGGCCCAAAAGTCAAGAGCATAATCAGAATGAGGAGAGGTCTGAGTAAGGTTGAAATCAAAGTGGTCAACCAAGGGGAGCTATTGAACCAGGATATAAACCATCTTTGTTTATTTGTGGGGGGTTTTTGAGCCAGACTTTTTTTAACCTTGGTCACAGAACTTTTCTAAGTTCTGGATGTCTGCATCTATTGTGGCTCTAAGGCTATGGTAGTTTTGGCTTTGTAAGGTCAAGGCTGAAATTCTTGTACCTGCTCCTGCCAGTCCCAATCCCAGAGGAATGGAGAGGATGATGGCAGTAACAACTTCTCTTTCCTGGTGATTACGGTGAAGGGGTCCTTGCCCAGTCAGGGCCCTGTTTATATCCTGGTCTGAGTGATAAATAATTTTAGGGATTAGTGTACTAGAACACAAAAATCTGATGATTGATTAAGAACTTTAGAATGGACATGGGGTTAATCCCAAAGTACATGTCCATCGTCCTTCATCTGGTGGTAGCAAGTATGAGTTATTGGCCAGCACTGGCAGAGTCTGGTTGCATAGAGCAGTGTACTTATGAGGGGGCTTGTCTATAAATAGCCCTCATCCTGAAACATCTTGTAGTGTAAGCCTGATTTTTTCCTGCTGAGTCTGTCTACAGCTGCCTTGGTCTGGCACTAGGGCGGTGTTTTCTATGAATGCAATCCCCTCATAGTATGGGGGCCTTGATAAATAACATAACCATCATGATGAGATGATGAAGTGAGGTCTGGACCATTAGTGACCAAAGCGGGTCAGTGTTGCCTATAGGAAGGTCATGGCTGTCAGAATAGCCATTATTTGAGGGGGCTGCCATGGTTGACAAGATTGATTTTGGAGTGACCTTTAAAACAGCACCTGGTCCCAAGGGGACCAAACAGGTCTGGTACTGAGGAACTCTTACTCTTAATCGAGCAGAGAATAAAGTTCCTGGATCTGGTTCAGTCCAGCCCATACAGAATTTTATTTTTTTAATTTTTTCCACTTTCCAGCTGGTGGCTCTCCTTTTTTTTTTTATTTTTATGAGGATTAGTGGGTATCAGTTGCTCCCATGTTACTTTAATAAGATCTCTTTTCTGAGGGGTTTATTATATGTGTCTCATTGTTTTACAGCCCCATCAAGCACCATAAGTAGCGCTATCTTCTCCACACCTGTTTTTCTGGGACTTGTATTTTGGAGTTTTAGGCCCTGGGAAAACATAGAACTGGCCTGGTTTTCTGTATGGGCCTGGAGAGTTAGTTAGAGCATGAGGATGTGTGCCTCCCTTAGGATTGAAATCAAAGAAGGCATCTAAACGGGAGAGCAGAGTTAGGAACCAAGCAGCCAGAGGCGCTACTCGGGGGATCTGAAACAATATATTACCTTCTATTATATCTTGGAGGACCCAAGTCATATTTATAGGTTGATGTGGGCTTCCTGGATCAGGAGCGGCTATCATGGGGAACAGAGTATATACAGTCAACAGTTTGAAAATCGGGTGAGCTTTAGCTTGAGCAGATTGTTGGGGTCCTTTGAAACTCTCCATCCTGAAGCTGGGAATGTGCAGTCTTCTATGGCAAATGGGTCAGCTGGCCGTACGTGTGTGGTGGATCCATGCTGCTACACCATCCACTTTGAGGGCTGTGGGGGTGGTCAATAGGATGACATAGGGCCCCTTTTACTGTGGATCTAAGGATCCTTGCCGATGCCTCTTAATGTAGACCCAGTTACCGGGTCGATATTGATGAGGTTCTGGAGGGGGTACTGTCTCATAAAGAGCACATAGTTTAGGCCATACGTGTTTATGGGACCACTGGATTCCCCTGAGGTCGTCCAACAGGTCCCAACCTTCAAATTTAATAATCTTTTCTGTCTGGAGGTTATAAATAATGGGAGGGGGCATTTTAAACATGATCTCAAAGGGGATTAATTTCATCTGGTTAGGGAAGTTATGGAAGGAGAGTTACCCAGTCACTGCCAGTCTCTAAGGTCAATTTAATTAAGGTCTCTTTTAGAGTTTTATTTATTTATTTTTAATCTGTCTTGAACTCTGGGGTCTATAAGCACAATGTAGTTTTTAATTAATCCCCAGAACTGTGGCCAGACTCTGACTTACCTTGGACACAAAAGCTGGTCCATTATCTGACCCTATCATCTGTGGAAAGCCATACCTGGGGAGGATGTCTTTTAACAGTTTTTTTTTTTTTTTGTCACGATTTGAGCCATTTTATGTTTAGTAGGGAAGGCTTCAGTCCATCCTGAAAAAGTATCTACAAAGACTATCAAATAATGAATGGTATCCATACCTGCCAGGTTTTACCTCAGTGAAATCCGTTTTTTAATAGGCTCCAGGTTTTTTTCCTCAAAGTCTGATTCCTGGATTTTTAATATTTGGCAATGTATTAGTGAGTTGGCAACCTTTACAGCCATTGACAGTGTCTTTAATCTTTAAATTAGCATCCTTGATTTTTACTTTGGCATGTTGAATTAAGTCCTGCATCCTCTTGATGTCCATGTGGGAAGAACGGGGCATTTTTGCCAACATTTGTTTTTTTAATTTTTGGGGGGAGGATTAGCTTTCCTTTTGCTGTCCTCAGCAGTCCCTTTATCCATTTTAGGTCCTCCCCGGTGTATTTGTTTTTTTCAGGGATGTTTGGGTCACCTAGGTCAATTAGTGTGGTGACCAAGATTGAGTCAATTTGGAAGGCAGCCTGTTTAGTCACCTGATCCATTTAATTGTTTTCTTGGGAAATTGGATCGTCCCCTTTTTGATGACCTGGGCAGGGAATAATTGCCAATATTTTTGGCAGCCAGAGAGTCCTCAGCAATATTGGGATATTTTTTTATTTTTGACAGTCTTTTCCTCTGCCATTAATAAACCCCATTCCCGATATATTGTCTCATGAATGTGTGCGGTGGCAAAGGCATATTGGCTGTTTATATACACATTAAGCATTTTGTCCTTTTTTAATATCAGTGCCTTAGGGCAATAAGTTCAGCCTTTTGGGTTGAAGTACCAGTGGGCAGAGGCTGTGCCCAAATGATGCCAGTTAATGATACTACAGCCACCCCTGCATACCTCTTGCCATCCTGGACAAAGCTGCTCTTGTCAGTGAACCAGGTTGCTTCAGCATCAGATAATGGGGTATCTCTCAAATCTGATCAGGTACCATGGACATGGGCCAGGATTCTGGCACAATCATGTGGGGGGGCATTCATGTCTGAGTCCAGCAAGAGGGTGGCTGGATTCAGGGCAACTGGTACCTGGAAGGTGATTCTAGCAGGATTAAGAAGTAATGCCTGATAATGGGTTATATGGGTGTTACTTAGCCATCTTTCCGGGGGCTGCTTTAAAACTCCTTTAATTGTATGTGGTGTGGTGATGGTCAAGTTCTGGCCCAAAGTCAGTTTGTCAGCATCTTTTACCAGTAGTGCTTTTTTGAGTATATAGCCCAAGTATTGGACCTGTTTGCATAGTTGGGCCTTTTTAGTAGAGGCCCGGTAGCCCAGTCTTCCCAACATCTGCAACAGATGTTCTGTGCCATTCATGCAAGCCTCTTGGCTATCTGCCGCCACAAGTAGGTCATCCATATACTGCAAGAGATTCATTTTTCAATGCTATCTGTCTCAGATGCCTCCGTCGGTCCTCTGCATCTGCAGTGGCAGACAGCAGGATCCTTGCCAGGTCCTTGTTTTGCCTTTTTTCTGCCTTTATCTGTTTTCTTTTTTCTTTACCATTTTTATTATTGTACACTTTTTTGGCACAGTTATTAAATTTTTTAAACTCTTTTTATCCAGTCTCTCTACTCTTTGGAGTTTTTTTTTTTTTTTTTTTATATCCAGAGCTGACTGGCTAACAAAAGCCATGGCCACTACCATTAAATTATCTTTGGCCTCCAGCTCTAATGGAGTATACCTGCGAAAAGCATTCATTATTCACTCTAAGAATGCAGCTGGGCTTTTATTTAGTTTTTGACTAATATTATGTACCTTTGTCAAACTAGTTGGCCTACGCACAGCCACTTTGAGACCTGCCAACAGAGACTGGCGGTAACCAGAAGCCCCCCCTTGCCTTCTGTAGTATTATAATCCCAGTCAGGCTGGGTCAGTGGATAGGCAGCATCAGTGTCGGGTCAGTAGTACGGACACCAGTATTGCCAGGAATTTAACTTCCTGGCTTCTGTTTGGATACATTTCCTTTTTCTGTGGTAATCAGGACCTGTAATAATTGATGACAATCATCTCAAGTGGGTTGGTGTGTGAATAAGACAGTTTTTAATAAATTAATATGCTCCTTAGGATTTTTAGAAAAGGGAGCATTCTGGGTTCTCCAGGTGTAAAGGTCACTAGCGGTGAATGGCCAATAGTGATGGGGCTGGTTGCCAACCTCATCTGCGGGGCTCAAAACTTTGAAGGGTAAAACAGTAGAGTCTGGACCCTCCGGTGTTGCTGCCCTTCTACTCCTAGTCCCCTGAGCTGGTACCCCCATGCCTGTGAAGAATCTGGTACCGGGGTGCCAGTTCTGGAGAGGGTACCTCCTATGGAGGAGGTGGAAAAGGAGGGGGAGGAAAAATTAGATCTTATTCTGTGCTGCCCTGTAAGACAGGGTACAGTGACAGTACTGATGGTTTTGTTTCAGGTGGTACAGTGACGGTACTGATAGTTTGGTTTCAGGTTTAAGTATTTTCTTGGTTGTTTTTTTCCATTCTGTAGCCGTCAGCACCTCGCACCTCCGTTTTCTGTAAAGGAAGAAAAGACTTGACCCACGGAGGAGGGTTATTAACTAAATCTCCCCAGACCACTATGTATGATATTTGATCCAAGTGTTCCACATGCAGTTGAAGAATAATTTTCTCAACCGTGTTAATGACAGCAGGATCAAAGGTCCCCTCCAAGGGCCATCCCACATTGAAAGTGGGCCATTCAGACCTGCAGAAAGTAATTAGTTTATCCTTTCTGACAACAACAGAGAGGTTATGGGCTTGAGTCTTAACCTCTCCAAAATGTGCAAGAACTAGGTCCAAGGGTGTAGAGGGAGTCTGTCCCATTGCGTCCGTCTCAGTCACAGAGAAATAGACAATCAAAGACAAAACAGAGAGCCAGAAAGACACACAGAAGGCCAAGTAACAAATTTCCCCACTCATGCAAAAGAAAAACTGAAAGTAGGACAGCGGCCAACTGCCATGCCATGGGAGTGACCCACCTTGTACTTTCATAGGAATTAACAGAATCCGGGGCCCTCCGTCCCCTCTTCCGAGGTCTGGAACGTCTTCCAGACCTCTGTGGTCATGGTCATCTAGCACATCCACTTCAACCGTTCCTGACCACACTGTTTACAAGTTTGCCTCGAGGCTCAGAACAAAAGCTAGGACAGACACAGACAGGTACAACTAGAAACAAACAGACATTTACCGGCCAGCCAAGAACCCTCCAGTTCGGGGGTCCTGGGGGCCTTGGGGATCCCGGACAAGCCCCCAAGATGTTGTGCCCAGTTCATGAGACCCCAAAGACCACCAAGGACCTACCGATGCAAATATACAAGGTTTTTTTTTTTATTGTTACAAGCTTAAGCTTGGGCCCACTCTGTCACCAATTCAGCGGATCTAAGATGTGAGACCCCTTGCTTTGGGAGACAGAGGTTTTTATAGGTTTATTTCAGCAAGTTCAGCAAGTAGGGGAGTAGGGGGTCTTCAGCCTGGCAAGCATCTGATTGGTTGCAGCTCAGTGTCAAACCATAAATTGCTGGCTTTAAAAAAAATCTAAAAAGATATCTAGACTTTTAGTACTTTTCTATATTTGTTTAATTGACCATTGATGGGGGAGTTATTCTCTATCTGTTCCAAGTATTATGGTTTTTCTTGGAATAGGGCCCAGGGCTGGGTCAGTCCTATGGAGGTTTTATCCAAGATGGAGTCACTTAGGTCTCTCACTTCCAGTGTATTTCTTGTTTTTCTTGCTTGGTCGATAACCAGGTTTAACATGAGTGAAAGAAAAGGATCCATCTCCTGGAAGTCTTAACAAATTCTCCATTGTTAGGCTAATTGAGTCCATGTCATTAATCTCTATTCTACAAGATAAGGAGTGTGAGTGCTGTCTGTGATCAAGATTTTCAAATCTCTCGAATTTGTTTGTGTTTGTTTTCTCTAATTTACTGTTTCTTAATTTTCTCCATGCAGACAATCCATTGTTTGGTTTGTGCCTGTAGCTGGAAAATCATGGCACAGTAACAGAACCTTTGCTGATGTTTATTTTGCCAGTGCTTGTGGCAAGATGTATTCTGCTTAGATTGAAATCATGAATATAGGCCTGCAGAGCCTCAGAAGCAGGGTGGTACAGTTTGCCCTGAAACCAAAAAGAGCTGTCAGAATTGGAGGAGCCACTACCACTCAGGCTGCAGCTTGCCAGGAGAGAAGAAACTGAAGAGGCCCAAGAACAAATTCTGTGCTTTGTGCCTGATTTTGTCATGGCTTTCTCAGAAAGAGTTACTCATTTCCATTAAAAAGAGCTGACTCGGGGCTGGAGAGATGGCTCAGTGGTTAAGAACACCGGTTGTACTTGTAGAAGTCCCGGGTTCGAATCCCAGCACCTACATGGCAGCTAACAACTGTCCGTAACTCCAGTCCAAGGGGATATGATAGCCTCTTCTGACCTCCTTGGGCATTGCACAAAACGGGTGCACTTACCTATGCACAGGAAATACACGCATACATGTAAAATAAAAATAATAAAATTAAAAAAAAAAAAAGTTGACTCTTCAAAGTGCACACTTGCAGACTGTCCACCGAAAACCCAAGCTGGGACCAGCAACCTGACCAAGCATCCTGGAACCAGACACAGCCCCTCCATATCCCACAGCTTCCACAGCTGTCACAGGACAGGCACTGCACTTCTGCTGGCTTTCAAACTGACCCAACATGGCCATCACATAAATTCTTAATATCTCCACTTGCATACTCTTTTAACATATTTTTCTTTCCTGATTTTCTATTTTCAATACCATGTGACATAATAGCATTAACAAACTTTGCATCTCTGTTCATCCCCTTTCTAAGGTTCTGGTGTCAAAATGTTTGATTACGTTAATGTTCACCCTGGGGAACCAATGAATTTACTGATTATACTTGCAGAGATGAGTGAGGGATTACTGAGGTATATGGGTGGCCTGAGAGTACTTTCTCTGGAAAGCCTTTACACAGTATGGATGTTGACTTTTTTATAACCTCATAGGTCGTGCCCTCTCTTCCCAGCCTTCCCAAGATTTTATACTACAGTCATTTCCAAATATAGGAAACCATTTGCAATTATGGAAGAATTACATACAGCTGGCTGGGAAGACAGGCAAGAGTCCTATGACCCTTCTTACCCCTCCTTTAATGAAGGAACACAACTGTCAACAATCCCAGTTGTGATGATCGTTAGCAAGTAGGCACTGCTGAAGTCATGAAGATAGCAGTTATTTGGCTCAGAAGAGTACTGTGCAGCATCATATTATTAAAAGAACATGGAATCTAAATTACACACATAAGATAATATAATGAGTTAATATTAGCCGTTTACACACTGTGCTTTATAAGTTCCCAGATAAACCTTATAGAAAACACAAAACTGTTAAAAATCTTTTTTTTTCCATGTAGTTCAGAGAGTGGTCTACCAAAACCTTGCTTTAGTTTCAAAGGAGTGTAAATACTTGGTAGAGAGAAGCAACTGGTACATAGCAAAACATTATCAAATTGGAGTTCACAACATAATCACTTAAGAAAAACTGTGCCATAAGCCTGCTCAGACCTTCCATAAACATTTTAAATAACATTTTCAAACAAATTTACCAAACATTTGTTGTGAGAATTTACCAACCAATTAATTCATACATTCATATATATGAGGTAAAATATAAATAATATATATATAGAGGTACTTAATTTATATATTTGAGTAATAGAAATCATGTTATAGATAAGGATTAGAGATAATATTTTGACCTGAAAAACATTTCTGTGTTAAACAGTTTTAGTTTGTATGAGACTTTGCTTATAAGTCAATATGATACTAAGTAAATTAATTTTAAGAAGCATAAACTCATGTTGACTGTGTATATATAATTATACACATGAATGGTAGATTTTAGTAAGATTTGGTAATTAATTTTTTTGAGACTATGGTT